ACCGGATACATATTTCGGATTTTATAATTTGTGGTTATTTAAAACTTGGACCCTTTGTGGGGGAGGTACCAAAAGAAATGGTCCGATCTCTACCTTCTTTATAACAGATCTTGTGGTGATAGAAATATTGAGATGTGCCAAGTCTGAATGGAATCGGATGTAAATTTCGCGTTTTATAAGCTTCATGGATATTCAAAAATTTTACCCTTTGTGGGCGAGGTACCAGAAGGAGTGGACCGATATATTCTAGACCTTGGGTTGATAAAAATATTGTGATGTGTGTAATTTGAAGACAATCGGACTTTAACATTATATTTGATAAGAGCTATAATTATTCAAAATGTTGACCATTTGTGGGCCGGGGACGAGAAGGAGTGAATCGATATTGTCCATTTTCGCACCTGACCCAGCACTGATGCAAATTTTAGGATTTGCAAAGTTGGAGCAAAATCGGATTATCCTTTATCTTTCTGTGTACCATAAGGAGTGGACCGATATTGTACATCTCCAAATAAAATGTTTGGGCTAAATCGGATACTCCCTTCGAGAGTTATCGTGCACACCAGCCTGACAGACAGACGGACTGACAAACGTAGATCGTCTCTAAACGTACTGAAACGGATTTGGTCCAAAGAGACCTAGGTTCTAATACCATTATTTCTATGAGGCACGTTTTGGTCGTATCAAATGATATATTCCCTCTGTAAGCCATATGGAAACCTTAAATACCCTCCACCATTTAGAACAATCCTGCAAATTTTTAAATAATTCTGGTGACAAATTCTCCAAACATTATTCAAATACCAAATTTCGGGGGATATGATTATATGGGGCTATGCAAAAAGTTTGGCTACATAACCAAATATTGCGATCTCATAATACCAAGTATGGGATAATCCTATAAAATGTCGGAAAATACCGAATATCTGAGGGTACCGTTATAGGTGCTCTATAGAAAACCGTAGACCGTAAATATTTAATCCATATTTTTTGACGGCTGGATCACAGATTTTTTTTTTTTTATTTTAGAATGTGTTAATGAATGTTTATATAAGTCCATTATTTTTTCATGACGTATTTTAAAGGGTAAATAATTAAAAAAATGGAAACTATAATCCTCATTGAATTCTTTAGAGTATAAAGCAAAAATGTCGATCAAAAAAAAAAAAAAAAATAAATAAATAAATAAATAAAGTAAAGTGGGTGAAGCCTACTGAAGTGAACATTTTTACAAAACTTTGTACAGTTGTGGATTTGTAAGAAATATTTTTTCAAGACCATTAATAGGAGATGATAAGCGTAGACCTTCAATAAGCGTGGATATTTAAAACATTTTTGTCAAACTCATTAATATGTGTGAATATTTTAAAAATATTTTTCATAAAGATTTTAATAAGCGTGGATTTTCAAAAAAAAAAAAAAAATTCGAAAGATTTTAAGAAGTGTGGATTTTTAAAAAATATTTTTCCGAATAATTTCAATAAGCACAGATTTATTAAAATTATTTTTTCAAGTCCTTTAGTAAGCCTGGATTTATTAAAAATATTTTTTCGGGTCTTTTAATAAACGTGGATTTATTAAAATTATTTTTTCGAGTCTTTTAATAAGCGTAGATTTATTAAAAACATTTTATCAAGTCCTTTAAAAAGCGTGGATTTATTAAAAATAATTTTTTCTTAGAATAGGCATGGATTTAAAAAAAATAGACATAGAATATGCGTGTATTTTTTAAAAAAACATTTTTTCAAAACTTAGACGAGGCGTAGAATTTTTAGAAAAATATTTTTTGAAGACTTAGAATCGGCGTGGGTTTTTAAAAATATATATTTTTTCAAGACTTAGAATAACATGGATTTTTTAAAAAATATTTTTCAATGGATTTTTTAAAAAAATATATTTTTCAAGACTTAGAATAACATGGATTTTTTAAAAAATATTTTTTCAATGGTTTTTTTAAAAAAATATTTTTTTAAGACTTATAATGGGCGTGGATTTTTTAAAAAATATTTTGTCAAGACTTAGAATAAGCATGGATTTTTTAAAAAATATTTTTCAAGACTCAGAATAAGCATGGATTTAAAAAAAAATATTTCAAGACTTATAATGGGCGTGGATTTTTTAAAAAATATTTTTCTAGACTTAGAATGGGCGTGGATTTTTTAAAAATATTTTTCAAGACGTGGATTTAAAAAAAATATTTTCAAGACTTCGGAGAGCGTGGATTTAAAAAAAAAATATATTTTTCAAGACTCCGGGAAAGCGTGGATTTTTAAAAAAAATTCAAGACTTTCGAAAATCGTGGATTTTTTAAAAATATTTTTCAAGACTCAGAATAAGCATGGATTTAAAAAAAAATTTTCAAGACTTTTAATGGGCGTGGATTTTTTAAAAAATATTTTTTCTAGACTTAGAATGGGCGTGGATTTTTTAAAAATATTTTTCAAGACGTGGATTTAAAAAAAATATTTTTCAAGACTTTCGGAGAGCGTGGATTTAAAAAAAAAATATTTTTCAAGACTCCGGGAAAGCGTGGATTAAAAAAAAAAAAATCAAGACTTTCGAAAATCGTGGATTTTTTAAAAATATTTTTCAAGACGTGTATTTTTAAATAAAAAATATTTTTCAAGACTTTCGGAGACCGCGGATTTAAAAAAAAAAATATTTTTCAAGGCTTTCGAAAATCGTGCCAAACTTTCGTCAAGCGTGGATTTTTTAAAATATTTTTTCAAGACCTTTATAAGCATGGTTTTTTGAAAAATATTTTTTCAAGACCTTTATAAGCATGGTTTTTTGAAAAATATTTTTTCAAGACCTTTAAAAGGCCTAGATTTTTTTTTAAAAAAATTAAAAATATATTTTCAACATTTTTGGATTTTATATTTTTAAAAAACTCTAATAAGCATGGATTTTTTAAAAATATATTTTTAAGATTTTTGGATTTTTGTTAATATATTTTTTTAAAATCCTCTGGATATTTTAAAAATATATTTTCAAGTTTTTTGTTTTTTTTTTATAAATATTTTTAAAATCCTCTAATAAGTGTGGTATTTTGAAATATTTATATTAAGACATTCGGCAAGGGTGGATTTTTTAATTTTTTTTTTTTTTCAAGAGTATTGCCTAGCATGGACTTATTAAAAATATTTAAAATATTTCAAAAATATTTTTAACAAAATTGTTAGCAGTAGGCACTTTTTGAAAACTTTTCCGTGTATTTTTAAAATAATTTCAAGCTTGTATTTCTTAAATCTATTTTTTAGAATGCTTCTTGAAAATCTTCCGACTAGGGTGAACCTGCAGAAGGTCGGTAGAACCACTCTAGGAGGTTTTTTTTTCTATCCATAGTAGACTTTCTTCTCGTGTTTATGGCTGACTTAAATACGCCTCCTATGGCGAGCCTGTAGAAGGTATTTTATCTGTAGGACCTCTTTAGAGGAATTTTTTCTAACTTTTGAAGACCCTCTTCTTGTGTTTATGGATAACCTCTTTAATAAGTGTGGATTTTAGAAAAAATGTTTTCCAAGACCATTAATAAGCCTAGAATTTTTTAAAAATTTAAAAATATATTTTCAAGATTTTTGGATTTTTTTTTTTTATAAATATTTTTAAAATCCTCTAATAAGCGTGTTTTTTTTAAAATATTTATATTAAGACATTCGGCAAGGGTGGATTTTTTAAAAACGTTTTTTCAAGAGTTTTGCCTAGCGTGGACTTATTAAAAATATTTAAAATATTTTAACAAAATTGTTAGCAGTAGGCACTTTTTAAAAAATTTTATAAATACGCCTCCTATGGCGAGCCTGTAGAAGGTATTTTATCTGTAGGTCCTCTTTAGAAGAATTTTTTCTAACTTTAGAAGACCCTCTTCTTGTGTTATCCATAAATCCTAAGTTTTCGAATTTTTCGAATACACCTGCATGTTCTTTTGTCTGTAGATGACCTACAGAAGATTATATTTTTGCTTAAGCCTGCCACAGAGTCCTACACGAATTTTAGACCCTTAAATGTCCTATTGAGGATCTTCTAACTGGGAGAGCTCTAGAGGTGCCCAATTTAGTAAAAGCCCTTATTAGCTGATGTATCTATGGAACCCCTCTAGAAGGTAGCATTTAAGGCTATGAAAGAAGCGGTCGTTCATTAAATTTCTTCAAATTGTTTTTGTTGTTCCTTTTATTAAATTTCTTTTACACAACAACAAATAATTCAAATTATCACCATGGGAAGAGGGTGATGCTGATTCCGATGATGATGATGATGATAACGACAAACACATTCGGATAATTACTTCGAGGCATGCTTAACGCTCAAGCAAAAGGCTATTTTTGGCAACCCAAAGAAAAAAAGCAACAACAACAAGATAATGCAGAATTAAAAATAAAACAACCATCGCAAAACAAAAACAAAATGGGCAAAACCACAACAACAACAACAAAGTGAATTATGCAACAGAATTCTCCCTCAAAATAAATATCAATTTGAAATTTCTTGTTGTTGTTGTTGTTTTTGTTGCTTACAACAAATAAGAACTGTAACGTGGTGGGGAGATGGTTAGTTGGTCATTCATCCCACCAGCCATCAAAGACTCGGGCATTCAAAACCGATTGTCATTAGCATTCGATTATTGAAATTATTTCACAATTAATATTTCCATTGATTTCATTTGAAATGCAAAATATGAATGGAATGTTTTTCATTTGTGAAGGTGATATGTGGTTGAGGGGGCGGGGGGAGGTATGGGGATACCCTGAAACGACCTGCCTGCAGTTTTGATTGCTTAAGATTATTTTGGCGCGTTTTTTTTCTGGTTCTTCACTTATTGTTATTTTTGTTTCTGTTTCTGTTTTTTCGTTTCAAAAATACCCACCCGTCTTTAAGTTATTTTTGTTGCTGTTTTTTTTTTTTTTTTCTTTTTTCGTTTATAAATAAGTCGATATGATTATTTTTGTTCCGGTTTCAATTCTCACAGTGCGGTTTTTTTTTTTTGTTTTATTTATTTACAGCGAAATTAAACAAGAACAACTGTGGAAATTATCATTCTTGGCCTGAAATTTCGAAAACAAAAATAAAAGGAAAAGAAATCGTAATTTCTTTCGGATCAATGGCAAAAGGATAAATTTTAGAAAGAGGTAAGTTGAATATACAAATATCCACCATTTACTTACAATTTTAGAAGCAAATATATAAAATATTCGAATTGTTTATATGGCGGGGCTGCATGGCAGAGCTCCTATGTAAAGTCTATAATAACAATTAAATAGCAGTAAGTTCGGCCGAACTTTGAATACCCTCCACCATTTGGAAAAAAAAAAATTTGGAAATTTTCAAAGAAATAAAATCCGTTAAAAATTCTGTTACAATCTTAACCAGTAAAGAAAGTCTTAAAGTCGGGCCGAGCCGGGCTTTGTGATACCCTACACCACTTGGCTAATTTAGTAGAGCTCCACATAACAATTAAAAGTTTTTATGGGAGAATTCAATCATACACGCCATTGATTATAATTATCACTTAAAGTTCCGAAGGACTAAATATGCCAAAGCATTTGTATCTTTTAAAATCCGAATTGTATAATTTGAAATCCGATAAAGATATATATGGGAGCTATATCCAAATCTGAACCGATCTTCACTAAATTTGGCATACTACCTTCTAGACTCAATTCGGTCGTATGTGCCAAATTCCATCCCATTTGGACAAATATTAAACGTTTGGTGCACAATAAAAAGCAAATCGGACGAAGTTATATATGGGAGCTATTTGCTAAATCTGAACCGATCTCGATAAAATTTGGCAAAGATATTTCTGAGCTGTATTTGATATATTTCCCCAAATATTGTTGTTACGGAGGGCATATTACGGCTGTGGGTAACAAATATAACAAATCGGATGAATAATATATATGGAAGCTATATCTATATCTGAACCGATCTTCACCAAATTTGACATATTAGCTTCTAGACTCAATTCGGTCGAAAATGCCAAATTTCATCCAATTTGGGCAAATTATAGACTTTTGGTGCACAATAAAAGGTAAATCGGACGAAGTTATTTATGGGAGCTATATCCAAATCGGGACCGATCTCGATAAAATTTGGCAAAGGCATTTCTGAGCTGTTTTTGATATATTTCCCTGAATATCGTTGTTACGGAGTGCATATTACGGCTGTGGGTAACAAATACAAAAAATCGGGTGAACAATATATATGGGAGCTATAGCTATATCTGAACCGATCTTCACCAAATTTGACATATTAGCTTCCAGACTCAATTCGGTCGTAAGTGCCAAATTTCATCCCATTTGGACAAATATTAGACGTTTGGTGCACAATACAAGGTAAATCGGACGAAGCTATATATGGGAGCTATATCCAAATCGGAACCGATCTCGATAAAATTTAGCAAATGTATTTCTGAGCTGTATTTGATATATTTCCCCAAATATTGTTGTTGCAGAGTGCATATTACGGCTGCGGAGGGCAAAAATAACAAATCGGATGAGCAATATATATGGGAGCTATAGCTATATCTGAACCGATTTCGATCAAATTTGGCATACTTATTTTCAGGTCTAATTTGGGTGTATATGCAAAATTTCATACAATTCTAGCTGGATATTACACGTTTGGTGCACAATAAAAAGCAAATCGGACGAAGATATATATGGGAGCTATATCTAAATTTTGACCGATTATCTCCAATTTCAATAGGGTTCGTCCTTGGACCAAACAAATGATCTGTGCAAAATTTCATCTGGATCGGGCAATAAATGCGACCTGTACTTTGTTTACAAAAATACATGGACAGACGGGCAGACGGACGGACAGACATGCATAAATCGACTCAGAATGTGATTCTATGCAGATCATCAAAAGGAACTATGGGTCTATCTCGTTTCCTTTTGCCTGTTACAAACAAATGTACAAAGACATAACACCCTGACCACCTTGTGGTGTAGGGTATAAAAAGCAGTAAATTCGGCCGGGCCGAACTTTGAATACCCTCCAACACTTGGAGAAAAATGAAAAAAAAAAAAATAAAATCCGTTAAAAATTCTGGAGAAATCTTAAAAATCCAGAAAATAGCCGTTATATTGGGGTCTATACGAAGACGTGGATCTGCAAAGGCAACTTTTGTCATAAGCCATTACAATATTCAAATACGAAACTTAAAAAAAAAATCCGGTGAAAAATTTAGCTTAAAAAATACGTAAAAAAAAACAAAAATACCGAATATAGGGAAAATACTAATATATGGGGGCTATACGAAGACCTGAACCTGCATAGACAATTTTCTGTCATAGGATGTAGTACCTATTAGGAACTTCAAATACGACATTTTAAACAATTTCGATGAATATTCCACCTAAAATCGTCAAAATATCGAATATAGGGAGGTACTAATATATGGGGCCTATACGAAGACCTGGATCTGCATAGACAATTTTCTGTCATAGGCTGTGGTATCCATTACGAACTTAAAATACCAAATTTGAAACATTTCCGGTGAATAATTTCGCTTAAATCACGAAATACCGATTAGGATAGGGAGGTACCAATTTATGGGGCTATACGAAGTCCTGGACCTGCATAGACAATTTTCCGCCACGAATGTAGTATCTATTATGAGATTCAAATACGAAATTTCAAACAATTTCGGTTAATATTCCTCCTAAAATCGTCAAAATAGGACCTGCATAGGCAATTTTCCGTCACAGGCTGTAGTACCAGTTATGAATTTTTATTACGAAATTTCAAACAATTTCGGTGAATAATGTCGCTAAAATCATCAAAACATCGAATAATGGGAGGTACCGTTATGTGGTGGCTATACGAAGACGTGGGTCTGCATACGCAATTTTTTGCCATAGGCTGCAGTACCAGTTACGAACTTTCATTGGGGGGGGGGGGGTCGTACCAGAAGGAGTGGACCGATATCGTCCACCTTCACAGCAGATTTTTTGTTAATAGAAATAATGGGAAGTGTAAAATATGAAGAGAGACGGATGCTTATTTCGGATTTTATAATCGTTTTGGTTATTCACAACTTTGACCCTTTGTGGGGGAGGTATCAGTAGGAATGTTCTGATACGTACCATCTTTGTGTGGATGGAAGTATTGAGATGCGCTAAGTCTGAATGGAATCGGATGTTAATTTCGCGTTTTTTTTTTTTTTTTTTTGGGTTTCAGGGATACTCAAATTTTTGACGTTTGTGGAGGAGGTACCAGAAGAAGTGGTCCGACATAATCCATTTTCACATCAGATCTTGGGTTAATAAAAATTATTGTGATGTGTGTAATATGAAGACAATCGGACTCCTACATCACATTTTATGAGAGTTATATTTATTCCAAATTTTCGCCTTTTGCGGGCGAGGTACTTGATGGAGTGGACCTATATTGTCCATTTTCACACCTGACCTAGCACCGATACAAATATTACGATTTGCACAGTTGGAGCAAAACCTGATTTTTATACCCTACACCACAAGCTGGTCAGGGTATTATGTCTTTGTGCATTTGTTTGTAACAGGCAAAAAGGAAACGAGATAGAACCATAGTTCCTTTTGATGATCTGCATAGAATCACATTCTGAGTCGATTTATGCATGTTCGTCCGTCCGTCCGTCTGTCCATGTATTTTTGTAAACAAAGTACAGTTCGCATTTATTGCCCTATCCAGATGAAATTTTGCACAAATCATTTGTTTGGCCCAAGGACGAACCCTATTGAAAATGGAGATAATCGGTCAAAATTTAGATATAGCTCCCATATATATCTTCGTCCGATTTGCCGATTTATTGTCCACCAAACGTGTAATATCGGCCCGAATAGTATGGAATTTTGCACATACAACCAAATTAGGCCTGAAAATAAGTATGCCAAATTTGATGGAAATCGGTTCAGATATAGCTATAGCTCCCATATATATTGTTCATCCGATTTGTTATTTTTGTCCTTCGCAAGCCGTAATATGCCCTCCGTAACAGCAATATTTGGGGATATATATCAAAAACAGCTCAGAAATATCTTTGCCAAATTTTATCGAGATCGGTTCAGATTTGGATATAGCTCCCTATATATAACTTCGTCCGATTTACCTTTGATTGTGCACCAAACGTCTAATATTTGTCCAAATGGGATGGAATTTGGCACATAGGATCGAATTTAGTCTAGAAGGTAGTTTGTCAAATTTGGTGAAGATCGGTTCAGATATAGCTATAGCTCCCACATATATACTGTTCATCCGATTTGTTGTATTTGTTACCCACAGCCGTAATATGCCCTCCGTAACAACAATATTTGGGGAAATATATCAAAAACAGTTCGGAAATATCTTTGCCAAATTTTATCGAGATCGGTTCAGATTTGGATATAGCTCCCATATATATCTTTATCGGATTTCAAATTAACTTTGCACCAAATGGGCAATACGAGTCCGAATTTAAAAGATACAAATGCTTCGGCATATTTAGTCCTTCGGAACTTTAAATTACGATTATAATCATGGCGTGTATGATTGAATTCTCCCATAAAAACTTTTAATTTTTATGCGGAGCTCTACTAAATTAGCAAAGTGGTGTAGGGTATCATAAAGTCGGCCCCGCCCGTCTTTAAGACTTTCTTTACTGGTTTTGTTATCGATAATGACAATTCCCTGTTGACTTCAGGTCTCATAACAGCCAGTCATCTGTATTTCTGGCTAGGAAAAACTTGTAATTTTACAACATTTCAAATTGTTTGACAAGAATAACAACAATGCGATTTTGAGAATTTCTAATTTTTTTTTTGCAAATTGGAAAACTTCTTCAACAAACTTTCCTGGTGAACGAGAGCCAGGCCAGGCCAAACAGCCAATCCAGTCGACATTTCTTACAAGTATTTGTTAATTTGTGAAATTTTTGTTTGGTTTGTTGGCCCAAAGATATGATCTCGTTTTGTGATCATAACTAAAAATATAAAACAACAACAACAGCAACAACATGCCAATAACAACAGCAATAACAACAACAACAAGATATTATTGTTTGCCACAAATTTTTGTTTTGGGTGAAAGTTGCAAGGCACTTGTCTGAACGAACGAACGAATGTTGGCGGCATGTCGGTATGATGTTGAAACTATGGCTATGGGT